CACAACTTGCCTTCACGTAGGATGTTAGCTAAATTGGGATGAGTCTAGAAGAAAGCTAGTGGTAGCAAGACCAAGATGTGGCACACATCTATGAAGTCTGACTGTTGGTCCAAGCCGTTTAAGGAGAAGAAAGTTGTCTGACTGGGCTTTTTGAGGTGTTTGGAATGATTGGTAAAAGAATTCATGACGAAGCTCTGAATCGATCGCAGCAGTGTAGATATATGCAGTTTTGACACCATTGAGACTGTGAACATTTTCAATGACCATTTATTAATTCCTTGTTCTTTCACACATTTTTGTTAACTTTGATGTCATTCTTTTCTTTCCACCTTTTTAAATGCTGGCATAGAGTAGGGTGACGTGAATTGATTAATTTCTGTGCAAGCTTCTATGTTGGTTTATCGAGGTCTATCTTCATTAGATTCACGGAGTCAAGGGGCACTAAGTAACCTAGGTTTTCGGATACAGAAATACAAACGAGACATGGAAGTCTACTAGTATTAACATCACCGATCCCAACTTACCAGCCAATTATGTGCTAGGCAATATCAAAGGACTGGTAAAAACGCCACCTTCAACTCCAAGAATCGTTAGGCCATGACTGGGAAACATGTTTTGTTGGAGTCTATATCTCTACAATTACTTAATAGTCTCCTCACAGACCAGTTCTATCCGACCTAATCCTGATATACGGAAATCTAAACACAACTAACTGGCGAGGTATCCGTAGAATATGTTCTGGTTCTCAAGCATGATATGACAGTATATTTTTATTTTCAAATGTCTCACTACACTGGTCAGTTATAGCGCTTACTAGGGAGTGATAATAGACAATCTAAAAGCATATGAGTAAATCTTCGAGGTTACCAAACTGTTCAGTGTGATTGTTTGGTAAGCAACTACGAATGCTGTCAACCACCAACAGAAATTTAAAAGAGCTGCCTTTGGACACTTCCTTTACTGCCATATTTTCTCATGTGTATGCCTGCGCCGTCCATTAGTGTCTATGAACAATTGACTTATGATAGGTTCAGTAGCAAAAGTTGTAGCATTCATATTATTTTGTTGGAAATGTTGACATACATTTTCGTAACTAGAGTGAGAACCGTTTTCATATAGTATTGCAAAACTGACTGTCATCGCTATGACAGTATTTCATTCTGTATTCACAGGAAATTTATGAATTTTGTCATCCGCTCCCTAATTATTTTACTCCAATGAGTAGCATAATCAGTTTGATCTGCGAAAGTAGGCGTAAACAAGCTTCCAAATAAATGCCCGTTAATTTCTATGCGTTACATTGGCTGTGATTAGTGTAATTTAGCCTTTGAAATGAGATAGCTACATTTGTATTGAATGATGTTTTGAACCTTATTTCACGTACAGATTTAACGTAAATGATTGCCTAAGTTTTAAGACGTATTGAGGCAGGGGAATGTTGTTAAGAACGAATTATGTTCAGCAAAAACTGAATCTTTTTCGTAAAAATCTGAAAACTAGAACAAATGTGTTGTATTTATATAGTTCTTGTGAATCGGGTGCAACAACAAGAAGTTACAAATGTTTATAGGAATGGGTGGAATATTTCCATGTAAGTATAGATCATATAATAGTGGTTGAATATTTCGTAAAACGACACTTATTTCCAGACTGCGTGAACGCAATTATTTAAACTGTGGCAGTGGCTGATTTTAATCTTATTACTACCCAATTAATCATCCTAACACGTAGTTCATTTGGGTTATTGTAGTGTAGGAGATTGACCATAATGTCTAGATGAAAGCTGTTGGCTAAGAAGTTATCGTTGTATCCTAAACTTTCGTATCAAGTAATCTGTGAAAGTAATGTTATGTATCATCTGGTTTCCTCTGATAAGTGATTAATTACAGTTTCAAGTTACCTTATTGATAGCTTCCATCAGCTCTAAGGAGCACTTTTTGTAAATTAGCACTTCTTCACCTGATCTATATATGTGCGGTTCCTGACTCGTTTCCTAGTTGCCACAGACAGCCATCGTCTGTCCTCGTTCCTTTACTACTCATTTTTTTTGCTTGTTTTGTTACTTTACGACACATTGCCTTAGCAATCAAAATCTATCTTGATTTGTTAATTTCCAAGAAAAGCCCTATCTGCACCACATTTGGCCAGTTGAGAAACTTGTGCGTGATAAACATCAACTTGCTCTTTGCAACTTGGAGGGGATATTCAGATTGATCATCCATCTTTCTGCGTTGACGTGGCCCCGTGGTATGAAGGTTAGTTGTTTTGAATTAGCATGTGTGGATGCTTCATAACTCTCTGGTGGTGGGCCGAGAGATCATGCAGCTCGGTGGCTTGAGACAGCATCAGACGACTGAAAATCGAAACCGATACTAATAATACTAAATTTTCCTTGTTTCTTCTATTACCGAAAAGTAAGACCAAAAACGAGAATGCTTCTTTAAAGGTATTTTTGAGACTGCTTCTTTAATAATCCAACTGTTTTTGTTTCTATTCTTTCTTTTGGCTCCTGTATTTATAATGTTGTAAAATTCATCTCTTGGTGCCCAGTTTGTACTTACTTTGCGTTCGAATAAATAATAAAATAATAATCCTAACGCACAACTGATACTTCTTCATCTTCCTCATTAATTTCAGTATCATCCTACTTCCTTGATTTGAGGTTTCCACACTGTTAAATTGTAGTGAAATGCAGATTTGTAGGAAGTAAAATTGAACCTGTCAATCATACTTCGGTTCGCATCATAGACAATGAGTTTTACCTATTGTAAGGGCTGATGATACAATTTGGTTGTCCGAACGTTGTAGAGAAATCAGACTTTAGACCCATGACCCAGTGTTACCGTCTATAATATCGTACTGATTGACTTCATAGTTGTACTCCCGTGTAATCAGACACTAGATACAAATTTAGTGCAAGGTGATATCGTGGCTTTATTTGTATAGTATATTTAGATGCATGGAGTTGTTTGGGTTGCACTGACAAGTGAAGGTGACTGTTTGACTTAGGATTTTATCTTCCGAGTGATAGATTTCGAGTTAGGACGCGATCCCACGCAATTCAAAGTGCGAAACCGTATAATATCATAAGCCCTGACAAATAAAGTGTGGCTCATGATCCAATCTGTAGTATTGAGCTCAGTGTCACAGATCTTAGTTGCTAACCTATGTTGACTACGATAACGTTTCAATGATACTGCATTATAGGATGTCAGTTCTTCGTGAAATAAGGTCAAAATGGGATTGTGAAGTTATTTGTGGAATTTTGCAGTCCTACATTTCAGTCAGTAGAGGGTGTTCTAAGAATCATTATATTATTCCCCCGAGTTGACTGGAAATACAAGCAGTGCTACAGCTGTTAAGTTTGTTTAAGGGTTGATGTACAGAAAGTGTTTTAAATTTTTAACCCTGACTTAATGACTGTCTTTTTTTCTAGATGAGTATGGTTTTGAAATGAAATGGTGTTTACAAAGAAAAATATGTTACCGAAACGTATTTCTGTTCCTCGTAAGAGGTAATTTTTTTTGCGTAATAATTTGCAGTGTTTCCATTGATTTCCACTCTTCTTGGCCGACAACCTTTGGTCCATCAAGTGATTTACGATCTAAGCGACCATCTTCTAACGATTAAAAAATACTTTGGGAGTACAGAAAAGCATAAAGAATCATGAAGATCAGGATTGTATAAATATTTCACCCACATCGTCGCCAGAACAAGAGAGCTTGAAATTCGGTCACGAATTGCTAAGCATTGAGTATTTAGATGAGCCTGTTGTGAGTGGATTTTATATTTATGAAAGCTACTGATCTATGTTTTTGCTGGATATGGTTGCTTAAATTTATAGCGTGGTTTTATACATAATAAGAAGTCAGTATTAAGCTTGAAATATTTAAAGATGACTAGTAGTTTAATCATTAAAGCATATTTTCGTGAGTGTTAGTGAAAAAGTGAAAACGAGCTTAAAATGTAGTCTATTATAATGTTGTAATACTGACTGCTTTGTTGGATCTGTCGTGCCACTTATGTGAGGTGAATATGACTTATCAAAGTACAAACAGTGTACTATCGGACGTTATGATGTATTGGCTCTAGTTGTGATAACTTACATCGGCGTATCAAGGTGACCTGTCCCACTTAAAATCTCTTCGTAAGCTGTAATAGGTGATGATTATACCGATTACCAAGTATGGTGAATACTGCCCAGCTGGTTATCGTGCTCCTAGATCAAGATTATATGGAAGAATTTCTTTTCTCTTAATTACATTTAGGTTGTCTGATTACAGTGTATTACTTTGTGGTGCTGTAGTAAGCTCAAGTTGAGTTGGCGCACCGATGTAATTAGATGAGTCATGAAAAATGAACAAAGGTAGGGTAATTGATTCACGGGAAAAGTGGTAGTGACTTGTTCGAACTATCTGACAGGCGGTTATTATCAGGATAGTAAGACACTATTGCTTAACGTTCCATGTCACTACAGCATTTGAAAATGAAGGTAGCAAGTAATGAGAGAATAGCCCAATGTGCTGTATTCAAAGTTACCGAAAGCTGTCATCCGATTTGTTATCTTAGATAACGTTTTTATCCACTACTGCTTTATTTGGAACAGGGTAAGATAGAATGTAGGCTTACTTTTAAGTTGGTTTTAAAAGTGACTCTATGTGGGACAAAAGTATTGTATTATATCTCCGTAACAATATTCAGCTGTCAGTAAAGTTTTTTGCAAATAAAAACATACTAGAAGCTACGATACACTTAAAATATTGTAGGAAATATTTTATGTCGTTTATAGTGATTAGTTTTCGTAAGCGAATTGTCTAATCTTTGGTAAGTGCTATATGCGTTTCCAGGGGCTTCATTTATTATTCAAGAGTTGTTCTGAAGTATTCACCTAATGTTTATCCGTTCTGTTTTCTTTGTCCCGTATTTAGTCAGTGGAAATTGAGTTACAGAGGTTGCCAACTTGATTTCTAGTCGTTGTTCATCATCAGTTTCGTCTCAGAATGAAAATGCCTTTATCTGCGAACATTCTCAGCCCAATTCTGGTACAGACCCAATCACCACAAACGAACACACAAATCCTGATGAATCAAGCTTTGAGTCTCTATGCTATCTTGCTGAATTGCAGCGAGATTATTCAGAGCTTCCGTATACGAATTGTCTGTCAATCTCTCCCTCATCGAATTCCCTCGTACGTTTTTCACTTTATATAGTCCCATCCCCTAAAAGGTTTTCTTGTAAGATGTTGAGTCGATTTGTTTTAAAATTGTGAGGGACAACAAGCTATGTAGCTGAAACGAGTAATTTCCTCCTAGATAGTACTGGTTATTTGATATAATTTTGTCAGGTCTGTATCTCTCCTACTGTAACCTGTTCTGGTTCACTTGCCAGTGTGTCGTAGAAGTGTCTTTTATCTTGCGCGCTGCCTTGTGAATATCCTTGTGTTTGTACACAGTGCCTCTCCTCCAATCACTAAATCGTTGAATGCACAGAAGTCTGCAAACAGTTCTCCATTCTTGTTCATTTCACCGAGTGCTTTTCGACCTATGATGAGTTCTCTTTCTGTGTTGTCCGCCACCAGTTCGGCATTCATCTCACCCACCTACTTTCTTCCTATTTATCAAGTGAGCGATTGAGAGGAATCACCATCTAGCTTGACTATAGCAAGAGGAACATTTAAAGCACAATTAGCATACATGCATTTGGTGAATTCTCCTCGACTGCTTTACAACTTACAGAATATCATGTCCAAGATAAAAACGCTGTATACAACATATTTTCAGAAGTTGACAAGAATGAGTTCATTGGTTTTCTTGAAAGTACGCTATGACGTAAGTTGGCGAAAATTTGATGAAGTTACTAACTGAGTAAACAATGATAGAATGAACATTCTAGAGAAAGCAACATAAATTGGGACGAAGTTGTAAACAATCCTGAATTCAACTTGGCAAAAAGAGATATTTTCGTAATTAGCAGAGTCAATGCTGGTGAAATTAAAATAAAGACCACCCCATGTGCCTTTTAGATGAATTTATCTATGGGTTGTACCATCTGTATGACATTATATCCCAAGGTATAAGCAGTGGAATTTGCTGTTGTGCTTACTTTTTATCGCTAATGTTATTTTGAGATGTATCTCATCGGAAAGACTCAGTAAATGAGGGCTGCATTCAGCATAATTGTACACAGTAAATCTATCGCCGAAGTACTTTGCACAGAACGCTGTCTGGCCGAATGCATGACTCATTTTTTTATGTTCCAAGCTACCCATGAAGATGTTAGTGAGGAACGGGCCCGAAACGACTGTCCATAATAACTATCAATTTGAAGATATAAGACGTAGCTGAGTTGAAATTAGACGTTTCTTGCGTGCATCGCTGGATGTTTGAATTCATACTTTGGTAACTGAATAAGGTTCGGATATTGGCGTATAATATCTAGTTTCTTACAATGGTATCTCTGTAATTATGATAAATCAAAATAAACCAAGGATTTCTGAAAAGGTATCCTTCACACCAGTAACAAAACTTTCAATCATACGCCTAAACTGTATCCTAACAAAAGTGAAGGGAATTGGGTTTTGTCGAACGCTGCCTGAGGCGAAGTTTTACTCATAAAAGTCCATCGAAGAACAAGATAAAACGGAAATGAGATGAGTACAGAACAATTGAGAATCTCGGCTTTCTGTACCTTGTCTTCAAAGTGGATGAAAACGCCACAAGCTCCAATTGTATCCGTCAATTAAATTTACTTGCCATTAGGAGAACAAATGGAACGGTACTACTTCGCCTTTTTGAACATATCTCGAAGATTTAGGGTCTTAAATGCTATCATCATTGGGGAGTCACTTGATAATGGATAATCCCTATGTTCAGACCAACTTAATCTGCATGGTTGACTTGGATGGATTGATATACCTTACGCAAGATGGTCAAATTGCAATTGAAATACACAGATCAGTGTGGCTTTCAACTGCTTCATTCGTATATTTCGATAGTTTATGACACCTTTATATCATAGACCACACCTTATGATTTTGATTGACGAATGGTTTCCAACAGAAACCCTGTTGACATCACAATCAGGAAGCTAAGAAACTACCCAGCTGTGACAAATGTCAACGTGGGCTATGCAGTCTGTAAATCACTTGCAAATGATCAGCCTATTTGAGGTAACTTTAGCGGTTCTATGTGAGGACTGCTTATTATTCATTTCTAAATAAACTGATCCCTGTATCTGGAAGGGATCACCTATCCTGAAGAAAGCAGAGCTCACGATAGTTGAGCAAGGTTTCATGGTGTTTTAGAACCGGCATTTATTTATCATTATCTACCGTACAGGGTAGGTCGGGACTCATTAATCGCGGAAGGATAACTTAATCGACTTTGCTGGTGCAGATCAGTCCAACAGTTCTACATACTCCGAAACAATGATGATTATAATCATCGAGTCACTGATAGTATAAGTAGGTCATATAAACTAAAATACGCTCGTTGAAGTGGCTGGCAAATCAAATTTACAAAACTCAACTGAGCTCCTAATTCATCCTTCCACGTTAAAACAAAAGTTAGAATGAAAGGCATCTTCAGTAGGTGTCGTTTGTCTTTTTTTCAAAAAACAAATTCAATAATTCTACAATAAAATAACAGCACTGACAGGTGAAGATAAGTAATATAGGGAAAAGGTAAGTGAGAAAAGCAACAAACTGAAGCCTATATATATATATATATATATATATATATATATATATATGCCCGTTCACTTATGCAGGAATGAGCACGAACAATATTTAACGATATAACCAAGCCTAACTAATAGCTTATATATCAATGCACAAATCACCATCTAATATACTATAAACGAATCAAAATCATTAGGTAAAATATAACTAGGGCAATCGGTTAGTTAGTAAGTGATATAACTCAAGGAAATGGAGTGGGTAGTGAAAGGAAAGAACAACAAAAACTCCCTCTCTTCTATATGACCGTATACGCTTGCAATACATGAAGAATCATTACGAATGGCCCAAGAGAATCATGATGACAGAAGAATATACAAAGAATACTTCAAAAGCATGCATAAGAGAGTTTTACATATACGATGTGATACGTTTATATTTTGTGAATAAAGGTGCTTTTAAAAAAGGCGGTGTGAACTACTTTTCAATAATTAAAACAACGAAAAAGAAACAAAACCCTCGAATGGCAAATTATCAAACAGATGTGCACATATATCAGGGCATACTGATAAAGCCGCAGTATAAAGAAAAAAAGGAGAATGCATTTGAACACTGTATTTCCGTTTTAATTGTTTTTTTAATTGAATGCATGCACACAAACGCGTTTCGATGGAAAATCACAGAGAAGGAGCAAAGAGAAACAATTTCACAACAGTAAGCAATAGAAGAGCTAGAAATTATCAAAGAATTTACTTACACAAGATACATCCACCATATACAGATTAATTATAGGCAAAGACATCATCGTCTTTAAGCTTAAAAACTAGGTCGATAGTGAGTACACATAAAATAAAATTGCAGAAACTAGTATGTATGATAAAAAGAACAGAGTAGTAAAAAAGAATGGAAATACTGGATACACAAATGATGGCGCTAGCAAACAACTGTCATGTAGTGAGTTAAGCCAGCATATATATATATATATATATATATATATATATATATATATATATATATATATATATATATATATATATATATATTGAAAGATGAAAGCCTTTTGAGTGAGTGCAAATGCATTGTAAAGTAAAAGGGTAGTAAACCAATTCAGTAAAGTTTTATCCAGATTTTCTGTTGAAGAACAAGTTGTGATATCCAAAGTTCGGAACTATAGACAGCTGAAAGAGATAGTGAAAAATAAAAAACCACTTAAAGCGAAAAAAGCAGTCCCATGATGAGCGAGTTTTATAGCTCATAAATAACGGTAACCATTCAGTCTAGTAGATAATAGCATTATGACACGTTTGTTAATCAAAGTACCTTTTTTAATGAGTACATATGTCATCAAGTAATATTAACTAAGGTTTCCAACCTTGAGTTTCAATCTTGAGAAAACTCCCCAACAAACTCCGGTTGTAGGAGTTAACTATTGTATGAACGGGTGTATAGTCTCAGTGTCAACTCGGTTGTTACTAATAATCAGAATAGTACTGTATGGTTTAGTAGGCACTTAGGTGTACAAACTACATGAACGAAACCGGGTAGATGAACCTTACAAACTCCACCGCTTTGTTTATATTTTAGGCTGTCAGAAATATTATTAAGATAAGGACGTACTGATACAAGATGACCAGTTGATGGTTGCTCATTAATTCTCCAATGAGCCAATATCGAAAAGTAGAACACATATCAATTTACTCTTTTTTTTAAAAACATTCACTTAATTGACTTAAGTATTCAACAATATTTAGACAATAAATCCCTGGTTAAAACCCTACTCCACCTAGTTCGGCTCAGGTGACTGGGTAATACCATAAACCTCCACGCATAAGTGTGGCTTACAGTCGAGCGTATCAGCCTGTTATAGTACATTGCATTATAATTTTAATTACTTATTTTGAACATAAACTTGGTACAATGTGGGCACCATGCAAAACAATGAAGAAATAGAAAGAAACAAAATGGAAAGAACGGAAACAAAAACGCAAGTGGATTGTTAGTAATCTCAAACATGCATAAAAAGACGTATTAAATCCTTTCACTTTGCTTTTCGATAATAAAAGAAGCAAGAAAACCGTGGCACAATCCCCATTGGTTTCAGTTCAAAGTCATACCTTCTATCAGCTCAAGCGACCGACATTTCATTATCTCAAGAACTACATTGGAGTGATGAGGCACCAACAGATGCCAAACCAACACAGCTTTCATCTCATCGCGCCACTTAAGACACTGACCACTCCTCTTCTTTCAATCATACTCAATGTAAGCAAAGGGTTAGCGATGGAGGAGTCCTTAAAACGACATTCGAAATACGTGTCTAAACCACGGAAGTCACTGTTTCCGAATGACCACACTCAATGAATGATGACCGCCACCACGTCCAAATACATGCCACCACCTCAGAATTACTTACCTTGTGTTTCCCCTGAATGCGAGCAATCTTGTGAAGAAAATGGATATCCCCAGTATGGAGGCCACGTTTAACAGGTGTAGCGCAGAACTGCCTGAATCCA